GCTGCACAGCGCAGTAGTACACAGCAGAGTCTGTCACTGCAGCAGAGGAGATCGTGATGGACATTTCTTCGTTGCTTCCTTTAAATGTCATCCTGTCCAGACTTTCTGCTCCACCTGAAGGTGAGTGAGACTTCAGGAACTCTGGATGTTTTCCTGGATTTTGTCGATACCAGAATAAATAATCAGCTGAATCTTTGGTGTAACTGCAGGTCAGAGTAGCAGAGCTGCCCTCTGAACTGAACTCCTCAGTCTTCCCTGCAGTGAGTTGTTGACAGTTTACAGCTGAAGGAAGAAAAAAGTGATATAAGTGAAGAACAACAAGGATCAGATTATTCTCTGAAAGACTCCAACCAACCTGATCCAGTGATCAGAACCAGCAGAGAGAATCCAGATGTGAGCAGAGACAGCATGTTGAGCAGAGTTAATGTTGGAGAGCTGAGCTGAAGGAGGAAGTTTGAGTCTCTAGAGTTCAGGGACAGATCAGCTCCTCCTCTTCCTCCTCTTCCTCTTGGCTAACAGACTCAGTTTCTGCTGCTTTGTGATGGAAATATAAAGTTTTTTTTCAGATGATAAAATACCTAAAATAAAGACTTCTCTCAATCAGAAGAAGTTACAGAGCAAAGTGTCTAGATATCTTCTCATTACGACTCTGCTGCTTATTGAAGAGGACAGTTTGATCCTAATGAGGAAAAAGTTTGGAGTTTTGGGTCAATCAGCAAATATGTGTTGGATAACAAAGTTTCTTTATGAGATATTGATCAGAACCAGGAAGCTGTTGGTTTTTTGTATGAAGATCTATGATCATATTTCTAAGTGTGGTCTGCCAGTTAGAAGCAGACTGTTTGTCTCTTCATGAAAAATATCCTGAAGTGATTTCAGATCAAACATTCCCTGCTGTTTGCTTCAGAGCAGAAATATTAGAGAAACCTTTAAAAGCTGTGGGATCATCGTTAGAATGAATGATTTCAGATCTATGGTGAAACATAACCCGACTCCTAAATATGTGGAAGTTTATCTCCAACATGGCCAGAGGTCTGCAGTAACAGAGACATTTACTGGACCAAAGTTCAGTTTTTCACAGTTTGCACTTTGAGTAGAATTTATTTGGAAATGTTTTTAAAGACTCTCGTTTGTCGTTTGGTCTATTTTATTTCACTAATACAGTAAAATTATGTGCTACACCCAGCAGGTGGCGATATTCAGCTCTAAACCAGCTGCCGGGAGGAGAAGAAGAATCCTTTTTGTCCTGCTTGGGTTTCCTTATGGAGGATCATCGTCACGTTGGTCAGCAGCTGCTAAATGCAGGTCAGAATATAATATTCTAATTATTAAACTATTAACATTTAGGCTGATGAAATAGTTTCCAACCTGCCATCAGAGCTGATCACGTCTCTGGACCTCAAACCTGCAGCAGGTTTAGTTTCTGAGTTCATCACCTTAACGGCTGCAGAGCATCTTCCTTTGGTCTAATTATGACCAAATTATTCCATCTCATCCTTTACTTGCTAAATATTAATTTGTTTCTTATATTATGAAAACTTACATTTTAGGAAAGCCTTGTTCTAGAGCCTTTGTTGCTCACCATGTATATTTTTTATTTACTCCATATATCTGACTGATGGTCTAACTGAACAAACTGCTTTAATATCAGTATCAATAATATCTGAGATGTTCGGATCATTTATCGGTTCCTTCATTAATGCTGACGGGTCACTAAGACTTTTATCATGCCAAGTTAAGCAGTTGTAGTAAAACTGAGAACATGCTAGCTCATGTTAAATGCTGGTAACCATGGTAACCAGTGAGCAGCACTCGACTCATTTAAGACTTTAGACCTTCAGACTCTTAGTCCGTTTGTTCTATTAATAAACTTCAAACTGTTTTCTACAAATGTGTTTCTAGTAACAAATATCATTTCCAAATAATTGAACGAGTGGAAATATTACAAACTACACGTAAAAAGCTCGGAGTGAACCATTTCCACCCAAGAGCTCCTTAATTAGTCACTTAATTGGTGACAATAGAAACTAACTGAGCTCGTAATCAGGATTTCAGAGGCGCTGGTTCAAATCCCTGGCTGAGTGAGGCTGTGGTCCCTGGGCATGACACTTCACCGAGCGCCGCCGTGTATTAGATATAGATGTGATGACCCAGATGGGTGCAGAGCGGCAGCCATGCTGCCACCACCGACTGAAACTGAAGAGTGACTGAATAGTGCGTGCCATCATAAAGAGACCAGAAAAGAACCGTATAACACTAGAGACATTATTATTGTATATTTGGAGTTATACATCTGTCCAATAAGCTTCCAGTTTTTAAATACTTTCACTACTGAAGTATTATTGAAACCACATACTCAGTAGTACTTTGGCAGAACTATTGGACTATTATTTAACCAGGAGGATCAGCTCTTTGACTCAGGTAATGAAACTGAGAGCTTTATCCACTAGTAGCTGCTCGTTGGAACCAGTGGGTTTACTAACTGGTTCCATTGGTTTTCACTGACTTCTGCCAGTTTGAACCAGGTGGAGATGCTGCTGCTTCAGGTTAGTTTGGCTCCAGTAGCTGCAGCTCATCTTAATGTAACCTGATGTACGAGGCCCTCTAGTGGCCGCTGTGGAGTACTGCAGGTTTTTGCACAGGGTTCTGGTGTTTCCTGTCACTGTGGGCTGCAGAGCGCAGTAGTACACAGCAGAGTCTGACGGACGGAGATCCTGGATCGTCAGGTTGAAGGATTTCTTGGTTTTATTGAGGTCAGCATCAAATCTGCTGCTGTTGAACTCTGGAGCTTTATATGTTGTCGATGTTTGTTGCTTCAGCATGTACTGTGGAAAACTGTTTTCCTCCAGCTTGTACCAGAACAATGTAGGCGTCACAGAGATGCTCTCATAATTACATCCCAGAATCCGAGTTTCTCCTGCAGCAGCAACAACTTCTCTTTCTGTCTGCGTCACTGAGTCTCCTTTACACTCTGGGGAAGAACAGAACATACAGAGGAAGAGATGGATCAATAGAGATGATTGATTAAAGGAGAACAATCAGCAGCTTTCCAGACTTCTCCTCCATGTGGAGGAAACATGTTGATCTTTGTATCTTACCAGAGAAAAGAGCAGCCAGAATAATCCACAGCCAATGTTCCATCTGTCCAACAAGGTTTAAACCAGCAGGAGAAAGCAGCTGATGTTCAACATTCAGTCTGACTGTTGTTCTCTTCACAGCACCACTTCTTATTGACACGATGCTGGAGCACAGAGCACAAGGAGAGCGCCGCCTGCTGGACCAGGTCGCCCCCTGGTGGAGAGGAAGCAGGTTTGGTGGATCAGATGTTACAAACTCTGCTTGTTACAAATCTTAGAAAAAAGTGACCCAGTCTGCATGTCCAGCAGGAGACGGTTAAGATTCTGTGATTTAGTCCAGAAGGATGGATTTAAATTCTCCTTCCAGCTGATTGAAGCTGATTTAGTAAAACAATTAATGTTCTCCTGACCTCACTTCTTGTTTTTCTGTCTGTCTAGATAAACCAAGATAGAAATATGTGGAGTTTGCCTGCTTGGGCGGCACACAAAAGCCATTTTAAAGAATCAATAACCAGTTTATGGCAGAGAAACATAACTGTGCTTGGTGTGAACCGGCAGCAGAACAACACTAGAGACGCCACAGGTTCCTTTTATTGATGCATGCTCAGATCAATTCACAGATGTAAGAGCACAGAAAACAAAAAAACAGATTAACGACCTCATACATTTAATCTAAACTCCTCCGTAAATGTCTCTCTAACGTTGGTTTCACCATGAAGGACACAAAGCAGAGAGACACCAACGGTTGTCTCTCTGCTTTGTCTGTTCAACGGTTTTTATGCACAGTTTGAAGTTTCACATTAGAAAAGGTTGAAAGAAAAGGCAACATTCAAACTGAGCTCCTCAGTTTCATTGTTATTGTCACTGACTTTTCTAAAGGACTTCATGCTCTAAAG